GCACAGAGTGACAGCAGTCAGAGTTTCCAAGTGAGCCAAGAACCTTCCCTTTCTCCTTTCCAGGAAATTGTCCCTTGGGAGCTGAGGAAATAGAGAAGGAAGAAACCACGTCCTTCTTTTCTGCTTCGATGCGAGTCTACACAGCAGCCTTGAAGGAGTGGCGAGCACACGGTGTAAGTCACTCAGCATTCCAGTGCGCGTCCGCTGCCGAAGGACAAGCGCTTACCCAAAGCTTCACCTTGCAGCTGGCAGGCCTCCGTGTCTTGCCTCCTCAGCAAGGATAACTAATCAAAGGGCCACAGAGACAGGTCCAAAGCATCATGCTGCTCCAGTTTTAATCCAATGCCTCAGATAAGAAAGCAGCCACGAAGCCCTCGCACCCTGAATGTAAAATGGGAAAGGTCAGCAGGGACAGAAAATTCAGTCGCTGCTGCAGCCCAGAGAGAGTCCTGAAGTGGCTTGGGGAGGAAGAACATTTGAACAGTTAGTTCCTAAGCAAAGTGAAGCCACAAAGCTAGAAGAAGTGGCTGGGTCATTACAACTAGCTCTTTTTCATTCCAACTAGAGTGCTTTTACCTGTGTCTCAGCACAGCAAGGTTCAGCCTCCAGAGCTGAAAAAGGAGTATCTCTGTGCAGGAAAGGACCAGAACATGGGGAAGTGCCTTCATTATGTGGAAAAGTCCTTACACATGAAAGGCCTAAGAGAAGCCTAATTGTTTGCTTCAATAAGTAAAGATAATCTTCCCCAGGTATAGGAAATACCCCTTTACAGATGCCTTTTGTGTAACTACAATCCTAGTCCCTTGTTCAAATGCCAAAAAGACACATTAAATTGCTGGTTTTCACTGACATAATCTTGGCTTTCTGGTAGTCACACAAATAATCTATGAGGGCAAACAAAGCCACCAGAGCTCATTAACAAAAGACAGAGACATTTCAAGAGTATCCAAGCTTCTGTGATACAGACCTCCAGACTCCTGCCTTTGCTGTACATATGTACTGGAAGGAGTTCTGTCCTCCCTCTGGCTGAATGTCTACCTGAAAGACCTGATATCTGAGCAGTTTGGTGCAGAGGCAAGGTGAGCAGAATGAAAGCTGTTCCACTTTGTCATTAGGCCCTGTGGGTTTAAGGGAAGATAAGCCTCCTGCTTCATTCCAGAGAAGGTGAGCAAGCACACAGGCTGGAGTAGAATGGCCCTTGGCTGAATTTCCAGCAAAGCATGTAGCCACAGCCCTGGTTCCAGAGTCTGTGAAATTATTCTTGGAAATCTGAATCTTCAGAGCATTCTCCAAACATCTGCTTTAACTCTGCTCTGCTTTATGGGTCCGCCAGTAACAAAAGCAGAGCTTGTGCAAAATGGTCACAGGTGAAAGATACCATATTCTTCATAAGGAAGTAGATGGAATCTACAAGGTACTGGAGCAAAGTAAGATAAACAATACCAATAAGTTGTGTGTAATGACTTCTCTGCCTTCATAAATCACTGAAGGACGCAAAGGAGTCTCCCAATAAAGGAGCAAGGGCCCTTTTTCTTAACATGCAAGTGCAGGAGGTCATAAGGGTAAAAAGGATGGGACCAGCAGACAGAACGAGTGGGAAGAATGGTAAATAGCTAGACACTCACTGAAGGAACAGCCTAGATTTGTAACCAATAATGAGAAAATCTTCATAAAGCAGACAAAGTCTTTTCTTCCTGTAGGAGTCAAAAAGCAATCACAGATAGTGCATGTCATAGGGCTTGACAACAGGGAGAGACAGGCTAACCAGGACCCACAGAGGCCAAGAAGATGCTTCAGGATTTGGCCGTTTTTATGCTAACAGGACTTTCTCCCTCTTACCTCATTACCAAGAGATAATGTTCCCATGGATCCTCTTTCATACCTGGTTCAGAATTCAAGAACCCACCAGTCTAGATGGTCTACACCACCATTGCCTTCAGGTCCTCCTTATCAACTTCACCCAAGTCTATACTGACTTGAGCACAAGACAAGATTTTTATCCAGGATTCTTTTTCCTAGCACACTGCTAGAGGTGTGGCCTAGGTTCATACTGAGACTTTACTGTTTTTCAGACTTCTCAGTCAGTGCTGACCACAATTTATTTAACAGCTTATTTTAAGCTATATGGTACACTATTTGCCTCTTACCTTCCAGTCTAGAGTGTAGAAGACACCCAGACAAAAAGGACAGGAGCAACAGAGAAGGTCCCCTGCTAGCTGGTGGGGCAATGTTTTAATGGGAGCATGAGGGAGTGAAGCTGAAATTCATGTGCAGGAGATTTGATTCACTCAGGCACGTGGAATACCTTCAGAGCAACCTACCAACCAACCTACCAATTTTCCTTGACCCTTCCAGAAACCAGCATCTCCTGTCTTCTGAGCAAGAAGTATTCACAGCATGTTGCTGAGGAGCCACCTTGATCCACTGCAGGGTGGGGTGAGTGCTAGCACCTGCTCAAAGGCAATGCAGTGCTCCAGCACCCAGAATCAGAGCCCTCAGTGGAGATAAAGAGCACTGATACCTCACCACCTACAGGGGAGCAAAGAATCACAGCCATCATTTCTAAGAGGGTCTGGAATGCTGATAGGACATACTGTTTTGTCCGGAATTTGGAGAAGCAGTCTGCTTCTTTTAGTAAACCGGGGGGAGGAGGGGGAATAAAATTTTTTAAAGAGTGAAGAATGGCACCATTCATCCTGCAAAAGGACACTACCTTGTTCTTTCACTCAGAAGGAAATGCGAAGAGCCCCTGGTTTAACTCCTATAATTCACATTACCAAAAAAAAGAATTTTTTCAGTCCTTTGTTAATGTCTTACCTCCTTCGTACATGCCTCCCACTATTGATACCTCAACTACTCAACAATCTCAAATCAAGAAGAAAAAATCATGATGAATGCAACACTCAAAAGCAATTCATAGCCATTTTCAATTTGCCTTTTGGTTTTTTGAGTCCTTGGGATTAATTCTGCTCTTGTTTTCAACGTTTTTTTCCCAGCAATCAGAGATAAAAAAGATCTTTCAATATAGAATGAGTTGTGGTTTTTCCTTCTTTTTTTAAATAATCACAAGATTCCAGCTACCAAGATAGAATACCAAGACTGAAGAAAAACATTATGTATTGTGAATCTCGCAGTAAAAGCCATGACTGCAGTATCCCTCTCTCACACACCACTGCTTCTCTCTTTCTTCTTTTCCCTCAGTAACTAAACAAAAACACCCTTTGCACAGTATTTATTCTTGATCATTTTATTTTGGTGGTTTTCATGCTACATAAAAATTAGTTTTTATATCAAAAAATTATTCACAATATTTCCAAAATAGTTCAAGTTTTTTTTTTTCTTTTTGTGTTTTTTAAATATTTTTAATGTATTTTTATTTCTTTTTTTTTTTTTACTGCAGCTAGGGTTACAAAACATCCCATTTCCTCTCGCCACCACCAATTCACTGTCGGTTCCCTTTTACATTTGCATATGTAAAAAAAAAAAAAAAGAAAAATAACAAAACTTTTTCTATCATTTACTTGAGAAATAAAAAGTCATTTGGCACTCATGTCTCTGTGGCTCTGATTTTCACCAGTGAAGTGGCTGGAGGTGGGCATGTGTGTGTGTGTGTGTGCGCACATATGCATGCATAAAGGGTACGAAGAGGAGGCAAAATTTAGGCAAAGATGGTCTCAGAAGCGGATAGGATATATCTGCTGTGTTCAACAGCCTGATGGGTGGCCAGGTTCACCGCAAGGTACCGACAGCTCAAGAGAAGAGGAGGTAGCAGTGTTGGGCAGTAGAAGACTTAGACTAGAGGTGAGTATTTTTCTTTTGGTTGATAGACTGAGCTTATCAAAGGTGCTTTCCAAAGTAAATGTACATTAGTTAGAAAGCAAATACAGCTGAAGTTGACCTGTGACAGGTCTAGAGACGCTACCTGCCCCAACCCTAGTAGACACAACCGTCCTCCACTGCTGTCCTCAGCCACTTCCAAGTGCCAAAGGATGAAGGTGCTGGGTTTTCCCTTAGGTGTCATGATACTGAGAGCTGGCCAGCTGCCCATGCACCACCTTTAATTCCTACTTCATGGTCTGTGAGACTCTGCTCAGCCTTGAATGATATTGTCCAAGTTCAGACAACAAATAGGTCAGGAGAGGCAAGGCTGAAGACCTCTGGCCCATTCAGGGTCATTCATTTGTCCCTGTTGCAGACCTGCATGCCTGGGTCCTGCTCCAGTGTGGGAAGGACTGTGCAGGAGGCAGTGAACCATCTTCCCCTGCCTGCCCTCCAGCCTGATCCACAACCCACACATACTAGAGGATGATCAGCTGTGGGTGACCATTCCCTTTGGGTCAGACCCCTCTGCTACAGGGGTCTTGTCCAAAGAATGGCCATGGAAACTGCCAATTCCATCCTCACCTGGACAATCTTGCATGGCTTCGGAAGGGCAGGACCCAAGGGTCAGAAATGCTCCCTGCCTTGCCACAGCCTTTGGTGCAATGGCCAAAACTCACTGGAGAAACATTTTAACATTTTTTAAGGGAAAAAAAGAGAAATTTTAAAAGGAAGGAAAGAAAGGGAGTAACAAAACAAAAACACCAAAAAAACCCCCACAACTACAACAAAAATCTCCGAAGCCCACTTGTGCAACAATTAAATATTTTGTCTTCTGTGACTCCACAGGGAAGTCAGTGAAAAGCTACTTCCCGAAAGGCTGCTGCCTCCACTATATACCAGGCCTCACCTCCAATTATAGATGGTGCTTTGGCCACTGGCAAAGAGACGTTTCAAGATAGCCCTGCCATTCAGGAAAAACATGTACAGAGGAAAGACCCCAAATACAGCTGAACCATACAAACAATAACCGCACAGAACTGAGGTCTCGGAAAGTTGTATTGCTGAAAACACCTCCCTGCGCCCACTAAAAGGACTGTGTAAACAAACAAACAAACAAACAAACATACAAAATAAATCAACAGCTAAACAGTAAACCTTCCCCCCCCCCCCCCCCCCCCCCCCCCCCCATGTTAGAAATTTTGAAAATGCAACGCTAAAAAGAGCAGTTTGCTGTGTTTCTGACCTCAGGTGAGAGACAGCCTGCTCCAAAGATAGGAAAAGCAACCAGACAGGCAAAGAGGCCTCCAAAGCTAGCAGCTTTCTGTGCTAACCTCCACACTGACTGCTATCCAGTGGGAAGGTCATTTCCTACAGCACCTCTTGAAGGCTCCAGCTTGCTAGGAGTTTTTAGGTGTATAGCATGTTGATAATAGCAATAATATCTAAAATACACACACGCACATGTACAAGCATTCACACACATATATCTTCTCTTCCATAAATGACAAACCTGGCAGAGCACAGGATACAATTTGATGGAGAGGAAAGAGCAGCTAGACATGGAAGAAAGCGGAGGAAGTGGATGAAAGTGGTCTGATAGAATGAATCATTGGAGACCACAGGTCATTTTCTTACATTTCATATATATATAAAGAAAAATAAACCATCAAAGAGGCCCAGTGACACCAGCACTAAAGGGCTGGTTAAGCAGACTTAAGATAGGCTAAATGATGAGTGCCCTAGCCCCTAAATGTTGCTCTTTCCTTGTCTGGCTAATCATGGCATCTCTTCATTGGGTCCTGATTGTCTTTTCTGGCTGCTGACAGAGGACAGCAGTGTCTTGTTCAGCAGCTTGGCCAGTTAAAGTGCTGTGCCGGTTTGTGGAGGGCCCCCCCAGAAGGTCATCCTCTCTGGTGCTAGCAGTCTTGTGATCTCTCCTGGAAATGAATGGGATGGGGAATGGCTGCAGAAAGTTCACTTCCTTCTACTCTCCCTTTTCACTGTCCCATCTGGAGAAATGGAACCCCTCCAGAGTGTGGAATTTGCAAGCTCCCTACTCAGCTCCAAGTAGCAAAAGTGATATTCTTTCACATAATGGAATGGGAGACCAAATCACTTCAGCTCAGCTTTTTTGTATATCTATCTGACACAAGAGCAAGATAGGACAGGCTAGTGTTTTCTTGCAAGTGGAACTTCAGTGCTTGCATCACCCTAGGAGGCAGCAAAATGAATAGCAAGGGAGTCTCTTGTTACAGTCACAGATCAGATTGACCAGATCGCTCCCAAAAGACCTTACCAGTCAGTGTGTGATTGTTTTCCTGCTCCACCTACCAGTTAAGGCCAAAGTAGGTAATGAGTGTGGCACAATGGTTTGGAAATGTGGCACAGATGGATGTGGCTTCAGTGGATGAAGCACAGAAGTGAATCAACTCATGGAATGGGTTTCTGATGCTGTAGTCAAACCCTCTACAGGGGTCTGCAACCCAGCCTCATCACTGATTCAGAGCTGGTCCCCTGGAATCCAAAAACAGCAGCCATGCCAGGGTGTACCAGGAAGGAACAAGAAGGTTGCCAATTTACCTGCAGGTACCTACCATCACCTGGCTTTAGCAGCACACGGCTCCCATCGCTTTTGTCTTGGCTCAAACACATGCGTACAAACACCTAAGCACACGCACAGTGGCACCACACATACAAATGTGTGCAGGCTGCATAAATACACATACCAACATGAACCCAACCCTGCTCCCCACGACAGACAAGTGCAAGAAATACAGACAAGTAGCAACAGGCATGCAACATACACATGGTGATCCCAAGCAGAGGGAACCCCTCTAAGCTATGTTCAAGCATGGTAGGTTCCTGGGAGATGAATCCTGGCAAAATACACTGCAGGAAGAGGCCTATGCAAGGAAGAGAATCCAAAAAAGCCATTCCAGGCATCTAAACCCCTAAGTAGTTCTTCTGAAAGCTCCTTGAATTTCACAGGGGTTTAGCTGCCTGTGAAGACAGATCTGGCTTCAAAGCCTGGAAGGAAAGCAGAGGGAGAAAGTACAAAACTTGAATCTTATCCCCTTGACTGATTTTTGTCTGTTCAGGGGCAGGTATCACCTTTTTCTGGTTGACATGGGACTTACCAGCCAAGTGCCCAAGGACCTAGAGAGAAGTCTCACGTAATGAATGCATTCTCTCTGGACACCTCGCAAATGTTGCCATATGCTATACTTTTGGCACATTGAATAAGCAAAGGAAACACAGCAAAGGGCCTTGTGATGTTCAGAAAGGTAACTCACTATTTTGCCATAAATTAATCTATGGGATGTTTGCCCAAGGAGATATCTACCTGTGTCATTGCAATACCACTAAATGGGCCACCATTTCCAACTCCATTTATGTTTAGAGTTCTGCCAGGAGTCACTCAAATGTGCAAACATATACCTCCTCCCAGACTTACAAGAATTTGTAGCCATGTATTCACCAGTACACAGACCTCTGTGGACCATGCTGGGACAGTTATGCCAGCATCATAGCAAGGGTACATCAGAAGCCTGACTATCCTCCTCACACCTGGGAGCAGAGATCCATTCCCAGGTGGCTGTGGTGGTTCTTCTCACCCAGAAATCAGAAACACAGGCCTGCAATGTAATGGCAGCTTGAGCAAGAGTTAGCTGCAACAAGGAGAAGACCGCTGCTCTGAATAACCTCTGGCCATGCTGACCCTTTGCATTGCTCCCTGCACTGCCCATGTACTTCCACACAACTACACTAAACACACAGAGATTGACTGGCCCTTTCTCAGACTGTGGCCAGAAGACCCTGGTGTCTTCAGGGATAAGCAGCCAGCACCAGGGACATTGAGGATGGTGGGTTGATGGATGTTCATTAAGGACCAGTGCAAACTGTCAAAACGGGAAGGAAGGAGATGTTCTTGGCATCTGCCTAAAGCCTCTACCAGTCTCACATTGGCTCTCTCCATGCTTATTCACCATCCTATCACTCTCCTTACTGCTATGACATCAGACCACCAACCCTAGCAGATAATGCCAAGTATCAGCTTATACTGACTTGTCAGACAGAAAGGGACCAAATTCTACCGGGCATTCACTCCCAGGTCTGCAACACAACAGAACTTCACATAGGTCCTTAGAAGCCTCTAGGCAATAAAGGAAGTGTCCTGTGCTTTTAAAAGTTAGCATACTTCTCTCCAGCAGGTTTGCTTTATTCACATAGAGTAAAAGCAAAGAACTGGTACTGATCCTGATATGGGTCAACCTGGAGTGGATAAAAACTCCCTGCTATAAATTTATCAGTCAGCCATCAAGGACAGAAATTATGTTCTTTCTCTGGGCTCTCTTAGAAAATACAATTTTACTGCTCCCTTGCATGGGCAAATTTGCCATACTGATGATTTCTTGAGTGCAAGAGCAGAACACTACCTCAGTGAACATGACAGAGAAGTCAAAAATAGCTACGAAATATCATCTTTTAAAAATCTGGTCATGGCTAGAATTTTCCAGGAGAGAAGAAGTGGATGCCTGCCCTTCACTCATCTTCTACACAGCATTGCACAGGCTGATGAAGACAACAGAGCAACAAGAAAGTAATAAGAGAAGGAGAGTGGGAGAACAGCCAGCATAAGTAATTCTGAGGGAAGAGGCATTGAGATGAAATTGAAGATTTGGTGTAAGATGGGAAAGTAGATCAGAGGCCAAGGAGATGAAGCAGTAAGCTGCTGAAGAGATCAAAACACCTGAAAATGAGGTTCTGAATAAGCTTCATAAGAGGAAGGACAAAGAGCAGAGGAAATAAAGTGATCAAGAATGGCACAGAGGGTCTGAGACCATGCTCCCTCCCCTTTCACTGGTACTGGAAAGACCACAAAAAGAGGGAGAAGGAAGGGTTGGCCAGGAGAGGAAGGCCCATACGGAGGTCCCTGTAATCCACAGTAACAAATGTACCCTGCCGGCATCCCAGGGAGAAGACAATGGGGACCAGGGAAGAGGAAGTAATCAAAGAGCAAAGCACATAGAGAAGGAAACAGCCTTGTGCCTCACACAAACAGTCCCTAGCAATCAACACGGCTTTTATTACAGGAAATTATTAACACCCTCTGCTACCCACCACCCCTTACCAATCCCAAACCTCCCCTCTCTGGGGACCCTTTCTTGGCACACACATATAACATCCAGATAAACTTTCCGAACCAGCAAAAGCAACCACTGAAACAACTTCAAACACCACAGACCAATAAAACCACAATTTAGAAGTTAACTTTCCCAACCCCCCCCATGCCATTATTTAATAAGGAAATACTGTACAGATATAAAACCCACCCTTTTCCCAACCTGAATATAATTGCTTGAGCTAGTTTCTGTACATATATACACATGTATTTACACAGTAATGCTGCAGTCAAGAAAGCAGATGATGTAAAAGTCACAAAGTGAATACATAAATTAAATAACTACCAGCAGAACATTAGGAAAGGTCACGCTGTTCCTACTTGGCAAAAATGTGTTGTGGGACAGAGTCATTAAGTGTACTGCAATGTACTCTGTGTCATGTGTGTGTGTGTGTGTGTGTACATACAGGCACACAAACCTCACAGCTTCCTGCTGTCTCAGGTTTGTTCATGTATGTCTCACTTCCCCAGTATGTCTTGTATGTGTGTACATGCCCAGAGGAACCCCTGTTCCACAGCATGGAATTATTTTCTGACCTGTTGGAGTGCATACCAGTGCTTGCTGTGAACCTTTAATGTCAGGAAGCCAGCAGGTTAAGGGATCTGAACCACTAACACATCACAGAGCTCCTTCTTCACCTCAGCACTCAGGGGACTGTACCCTTGACATTGGCAGACATGAGTCCTGCTCTCTGCAATATGGTTTCACTGCCTTTTTCTATACACAAGCAAGTTTATGCTGTGTCAGTTTTGTTGTCAGCAATGGCAGAAGGGTGCCAGAATTCACTCAAATGGCATGGCTAGAAGAGGAATTTGGGGAATCTCAAGAAATGGACAAAAAATTGAAAGCCAATTTTGAAGTGGTTTTCATTGTTGCTGTTCTAGTGGCAGACACCCAGGTTTGTCTGCAGTCAGCCCCAGGGAGGTCCAGAGGGCCCATGATGAAGATGAAGCAATAGTGTTCATGTTGCCAGTGAGACACTCGGCACCCCAGTTTGCTTTTGATGGGGGAGGAGAGAGGAAGCCACAGGGAACTGTAGGTAAATGCAGCGAGGGTCTATGGCTTGGAAATCTATTTGGCTGCAAATTGAAAATAAGCCCTTGTGGGGACAACAATCAGGTCCCACTAGTTACTATCTCAGTGTAGCTACCTGCAGCATCCAGCAGCATGGTAGGTGTGTTCCAGGTGGACACGCCAGGTGTGTTCAGCAGCAGGGAAGCACTTATGGGAAAGAGTGGGTGCAGATGGGGATCGTGGCTTGGAGTCTGTCCCCATTTGCTGCCAGCAATTTGGTTCCTTTCTCGCACACAGCTCCCAGGGACTCCTGTGGTGACCAGGCATATGCCACAGAAAGGAAGCATAACTGGACCCTACCCTTTGCCAGCTTGGATAGAAAAGTGAGGGTGAAGTGTAATTCCATAGCGCAAGGGCACAGAGGGTCAGCACAAAGTCCTTTCATCAACACTCCTGATCTTTGTCTGCTTCCATTTTCTCTTTCTTTTTGGCAACCAAAAATGTGTGGGGAAGTGCAACCTCCCACCTTTCTCCAAGAGAAGGGCTCATCAAAGGTTGCTTGACTGGAGTGGAGGATGTGTGAAAGGCCTAAGTCTGATCATTGGCTGTGTTCCCAGGCTTGCTTCCATCTGTTGATAAGCAATGGAGGTGGGAGGATATGCCATATTTGATAGAAAGCTCTAAAGCAAAGACTTGCCTATGAAGATCCCTGAGGTATCTCTGATCACTCCAACCTGTCACCACCATCATATTCATTCTTTATCTCCCCCTCTCTCTTTTGCTGGCAATTTTGTTGTGAGCAACAGCCTACTCTGAATGTAAAAACGGGCACTATTCAAGATGGATGCTAATGTCTTCTTGGAGTGAGGAGCTCAACATCAGCAGACATTGCTGAAAAAGAGGCCCATTCTGGCAACTTTTAACCCCTCCATCAAATCCTTTGCAACGCCACAAAGGAACCTTCCTCCCCAGTATGCTGGAAATTGAAGTACCAGTTCCCTGCAGGCAAAGTTCATACTTTGATATTGCTGACCATTTTGAACCCACCGGGGTTCTCACTTGGAGAGTTCTGACAATGCATGCTGGATTTCAGAATGGGATTTTTTTGTCATTGCTGTTGTTGAGATGGGGATGATGTGCTTCATTGTCTCAACTGACAACAAGTTCTGACTGCAGCTTTTCTTGCCTGCTTAGGATATGACATTGCAAGCTCTGATACTGCCGTCTCTGGGAGGCATGATGGGAGACAGAGAACTGGTACACCAGCCTGTGTTGTGTTGCACTACAGTAAAAAGTCGGTGTGAATACTCCAACAAGGTTTATGATGTGGAGATCCATGGCTGCAAGTTCTACCTGCCAGTTGCTTTCTACTGTGTATGGCACATTTCTGATATTTTTTGCATATTTCCTTCATCTCCGTCATAGACATCCTCCTTCAGCTGAGTACATACACTCCAGTACCACTTCAAAAGAACATGGCTCATGAAAATACTTCTCAGAGAGCCATGTCTCTGGCTAGAAGTGAGGAGGTAAATGTCAGAAACATTGCCAAAGGTGCCTAATCTTTCCTGGGAGGCTGTCTGCAAATAATCAGTAGAGGTCACCAACTGTAGAGGACACAATGGTTTTTGCTCAGTATTCTTGTGTGCAGAAAACTTCAGAGAGAGGAAATGTTCCCAGCCACTGCCCCAGAAAATACTGGTGTTTCTACAGCAGAGAGAGAGAAATGGTAAGGCAGGGGATGTGGATTTTTGTCAGGCTCTGGTATGAAATCCCATTCTTTTCTGGACAGGTAATAAACAGCACATGGGTGGTTTTCTAGTATAGACAACACCTGCTGCTAATATTACCTGTTTGATTCACTTGAATACTTACAATGAAAATACACCAAATCTAAAATTCTAAATATATAATCAGAGTTTAATAACATCATTGATTTATTTTCTTGATTATGAATTATACCCTCCCCCCTCCCACCCCTTCCCCTTCATCTCTGTCCCAAAAACTTGTTGACCTGTCAGAACTAAAATAAACAAAGCAACCAGAAAAGATCACTTATAGGAGAAAGGATTAACCTGATGGACACGTGGCCTAATATATTAAGGGAGAAGGCAAAATACCAGACTCCTGTGGTTAGACCAGTGGTTCAGTCCAGAATTTCCAGTTCTTCTTTTCTGGTTGCCCTAGAGCATTCATTTGAGTGGTTTGTGGCACAGTTAATATTTGCAGAGCACTCAGAGTGTTAACAGTGCTACAACAGTAAGAATACTAGATAATGATTTTGGCAAACTATCATTTGCCGATCAGTGGAACAAGGGACAGACCAGTTCGGAGAAAATACGAACCAACTTTCAACCCGGAACACAAAAATCAGAACCTTTAAGAAGAGATTTGAAAAAAGTTCCATTAACTTCTTTTTGGTTTGTTTTCAGCTTAATTTCCCTGCAGAGCCACCCTCCAGGTTTCCTCGTTCCAGGTGGGGAGGGACGGATAAGTACCGAGATAACCACCAAAGAGATTAGCTGCCCTCGTCAGCTGTCAAGCTTCCCAACCCCAAGCCCTTAGGAAATACCAGAAATTATCACGAGCTTTCCCAGGTCCAAGATTTCTAAACCAAAGTAGCATTGGAGAAGTCTCTTAATGTCAAAATGATGGTCCAACCTGAGTGGCCAACTTGATGGTTCACCCCACCACTATCAAGACAGTGTAGTGCCTTGAGGCCCAAATTCCACAGAGAGATGCTGGTACAGAGAGTTTATATGCAAAAAGGAATTGGGGGTGTTCCCATCAAAACATGAAACCCTGCTGGCAAGGCTTGAAGTGACGTTCCGGCGTCTTCCATTCATGAAGATAAAGGTGACAGGGCAATACAGGGGGCCTTGGGGGAACACAACACACATGGGTTTCTCTCTCTCTTTCTCTCTCTCTCTCTCTTTTTTTTTTCCTCATTCATACGGCCTCGACCTGCGTAAACCGCTTCCAAAAATGCAGCCTGAAAAGTCATAGAAAACAAACAGAACGGAAACAAACTTCCCCTCCCTCCCACCCCACGACCTGAATATTCACGAGAAGAGAAACACCAATTTATACAAAAACGCAATAAAAAAGAAATATTTACAAAAGAAAGGAACGCCTTCTTGGTGGCCGCTATCAGAGGAATCTGACAAGCTGCCATGTGTTCTGGATTGCAGATCGCTCTGTTAATTTGTTTGGTTTCTGTTTTTTCTCTTTTCTTTTCCTTTTTGTCCTTGTAATGAGAGAAGAGGGAAAGAGTAAGAAGTTCCCTTACCCCAAAGACTAGGGGGTGGCATCACAAAGACTCTTCCCCTCTTTCCTCCTTAATTTCCTCTGTGAAATATAAGAAAATATTCCCCTCACCAACCCTGCCCACCCTTTCCTTACACACTTTGACTTAACAGGTAAATCCCACCCTCCCCCCTGCCTCAGCTTAAAAAATAAATTAAATAAATAGGTAAATAAATAAAAGGCCTTCTGTTGGCTTATAAAGAGAACGATAAGATAAAATCAACCATGGTGTGGTGAGGAATGTGAGAGAGGTGGCTTTCAGCTCAAGAAATGTGGCTCATAAAGACAGGGCTGCCATCTCCCTTCAGAGTAAATCCTCAGCGGTGTCCCCATGCTCTCAGCACAGGACTCTCTCAACCCTTCACCTGGTGAGCCATGGTGATTGAGACACTGGGACAGACCCAGGATAAGCCATAGAGACTTTGCCATATCTCTCAGGATGGGAGAGGTCGGTCCACACCCCCACCTCAGGAGATAGATGACATATGAAAGGTGTGTTCAGCTTCTCACTCCTACCATTGCTCCTTTTCCTTTAGTTTCACTTGCATCTAAAATGATACAATGAAAAGAAAAAACACTCTTATTGATACTAAGTGCACCAGGAAAGCTGTCACTACAACTGCAGGGATGGGAAACCCTAGGCTATTCCAGCTTTACACCTGTGCTAGTATCTCTCTCTTTCACACAGAGGCACACACACACATACACGCACATCTCAGCTTTGTACATCTTCAGTCTCCAGCACAAGTTTCTGTGCTCTCTGGCATTTATTCAAGCACATCCCTTCCCAGGAAGACAAGCTGTGTACTTCCTCTGTACATTCAATAGTAAATATACACATGTATTTCCCACGGGTGCATACACCCTCCTCCCATTTTCACATGTGCAAGGAGGCATGGAAACAGTCCACCAGCACCACCACCACCACACGCACCCTTCTAGGCATTTCTTTTTTCCTTTCCACCATTGGAAGAGGGCACCCTATTCTTTGCATTCCAACCTGCTGGCTGAGTGTAGAAAGAGCAGAAGGATTAAGCTCCTTCTTTCTCTCCCAGCCTTGCTGAAAGGACATGCCAAAATGGGTTTGGTGTCCCCTGAAGTGACAGTGAAAAAACTCCCAACCTTTTCCTACTCTTCAAGTCTGTTCTACTGTGTTTGTTCTCCAGACACCTCACAGGATACTGGGTTTATTTTGCTTTCTTCACAGACATTTCAAGTATAAAGTTATCATATATACTTGCAGATAGGCAAACCCATACAATATACTGCTCCCACCCTTGAAGAATGCCAGAACTAGTGAGCAGCTCACAGCTAACAAACCAACCCTGTTCCTCGTTCCTCAAATCCTTCTTATTTCTGTGCAAACCAGCATCTTTTGTCTAAGTTTGGAAAACCAAACCTGGAGTCAGGGAGGCTCAAACTCATATTTCACTTCTTTTCTCTCTCTTCCACTGGTCCGCCACAGATTCAATGGCTGTAATAGCCATAGTGAAACCACTAGCCTGACCTGCAGACAAATCTTCCCTCCCTCCACACCCCCCAGCAGACAATTCAAAATTTTAGCGTAAAATTTCTCAGCATATACGCAAATATATATATATATATATATTTCAGCCCTAAACCCCCATAGTCTTCACAAAATAATGTAACAAGAACCTCAATATAGCTAACATGTAAGTGCATCATCAAGTTAGTGTTGTTATTCTCCCTTCACTTTCTCCACGTCAAACACTACTCTCTTCTAGGCAGTTTTAGGAACAGTTGCCTGAGCAAACATGTTTTCCTGCATGTCCATTACACTGCTGCTGCTGCCTCCTCCTGTCACACACGCACATAGACGTGTGTGCATATGCCTTTCCCTGCTGGGAGCCAGCAGAAGTGAACACTAAAGTCAGTGCTGCTCTTCTTCAGCCCACCCCTTCCCTGCCTTTTTCTCTGCTTCCTGAAACCATGAGCAAGGACATCCAACTCCGACATCACTGTAAAGTGCAATGGCCAGGAATGGAGGAGAATGGGAGGAGCGAGAACATGGAAAAAGAGATAAAACGGGAGGCTTGGGAAAGGAGGAGGAAGAGGGGAAACCAAAGAGGTGGCACTTGTCACCAGTGCTGCACTACTCACAACTCCAGTATCCCACAAACTAAGGACGACTCAGGAGAGTAGCTGATGGGATTGATCCCACCCCGCCCTCCCATGCTCCACATACATCCCCAGTCCCTCCCCACACTCTTCCCCTCTCACTCAAACGTCAGACTCAATACTGGAGAGTTTCTCATAAACATGCCCGTTGCTGGAGCCATTGAAAGCCCTGGGGTTTTTGTTGTTAGGCACACAGGGGTTGGACTGGTTCCCTATACAGATGTCCTTCTGGAAACGGGCTGGCACAGCCCCATGAAGGGCTGAGACCACCGGCTTGTTGGTGGTGACAATGGCTCGGAAGTCTGGCCTGGCTTTGGGCCCTCCTGCCACCACAGGCTGCCTGAAGAAATAAGATTTGCTGCCGTGGAGCAAGCATTGGTCATCCCCAAAAGTGGGGATGAAAGGGTTTTGGGTGACCCGGTCGGGGTAGAGCGACTTGCTGAGCATGTAGCCCCCACTGCTGCCGGGGTTGTTGTGGTGGTGGTAGCTGGTGGCGGGCACTGAGGACTTGTTGTTGGCAAAGGTGGTCTCACTGGCTGGCATCTCAAACATGTGGGCGTAGGGGCTCCCCTCCAAAAAGCGGCCCTTGTCCTTGAGGCTGACGCTGCGGGGGGCCAGGGCCGAGTCATCCTTCTGCAGGTCCACAAAGGTGTCGTAGGAGTGCTGCCGGCGGAGTTTGTTGCGGTTCTTCTTCTGCACCTTAGAGGCAGAATTGGAAGGGCTCTGAGGATATTTGGAGGAGGAGGTGGCACTGGTGGCCACGGGCACAGGGGCAGGTGGCTGGTCCAGCTCCTGAAGTGAGTTGTCCTCACTGATGTCATACAGGTTGCCCGCTTTCTTGCAAGCCTCACAGCGGATGCAGGCCTGGCGGGTGGAGTTCTGCCCCACCGTTGATGGCGTGTAGTTGTGCAGCTTAGAAGGGCAACTGCGGCAGAAATTAGCCCCGGTCCGGTCTTCCCAGTCTAGATTGGTCAGGTTCTTCTCCCATGGCGCTGGGACCCCACTCACAACGCTATGCTTGTGCTCATTGCCTCCACCAAACTCGCCTGAGCCATGCTTGTGATGGGCCCTGTTAGTGCAGGATCCACCCCCTCCTCCTCCTCCCGTGTCACGCTTAAACTCATCTCCCCGTTCTTTGTAGATATCCGTCAGGTCCACGTGTTCCCAGTGAGGTGAGTTCTCCTTGGTCCGAAACTGGTCAAGGTAGAAGTCCCGTAGCCCTTCCTTGTCCCTGAAGTAGCGCTTGTGGTCAGGTGAGCGGGGCGGTCGCCGGCGGTAGGCCAGTTCTATCTCATCAAATTCCCTCCGGGACTTGGCAGAGGCTGGGCGCTTCTTCAGGCTGTCCTTGTACTGCTGCTTCCGCCTCTTGGCTGCATTGCCCTCAATGTTGCCATAAGTGACCGTGTGAGTGGAAATGTCAGAGACATCTGAGCGGATCAGGTCGTCATGGGTCCCACTGCCCCCGTAACGGTCACCCTTGAAGGAGAACTTGCCATAAAGGTCACCCAGCTGGCTGTGCTTGGCAGGGGGCAACCCCAGGTCCAAGGGCTTCTTCCCGATGGAGCGCGACTGGGCGTTGAAGGGCGGGTTGTCACAGTCATAGAGCCCGTCAATGGAGCTGGTGCTGCCAATGCTATGGGGGCGGTGGTGGTGGTGGTAGTGGTCCTGATACACATTGCTGTCCTTCAGCTGGAGATTGCCAAAGGTCCTTTCCACCTCGCTAATATAGTCACTAAAGAGGTTCTCCTCGCACGGGGGGTTGTTGTAGGATTTGCAGTCTGAGTGGGTGAAGCTGCGGCGGTGCTCAGAGATGTCATAGACGGATGACTCGCGGCGGATAAAGTCCAGGGCACTCTGTGGTGAGCCATTGACCCCTGACAGGTTGGCCATGTTCTTGGCTGTCCGAAGCAGGCGGAGGATGTTGGAATGGGTGTTGTTCATAGTTGCTGTGGGGGAGTTCATTGCTGACTGGCGTTCTTCAATGGCCACACCATGGATGCAGCTGTAGATACCCTGAAATGAGAGAAAGAAAAGAGGTGAGCGGTTCTGCAAAGAATACACAGAGGGGAACCTAAATTTGGAACCACCCTGTGCTTCAAGAGTCTGTTCCTGTAGGACAGTAGGGCCTATCAGCCTTCCATCATGAAGCACAATCAAATCAAATGAAATAAGATCTGCTCTACCAACCCTTGCTGTTCTGACCCTCTTTCTTGACCCTCACATTTTTCTTTTCCCTCCATTCCTCTTCCTCTGCTTTGTTTCAAGTTGTATCTCCAGGATGCAGGAATGCCTGCTTGCACCTGTAAGAGTTAGTCAAATCTAGGAGGTATAACACAGAATTGCAAAGGGGACAATAATATCCTTGGGAATAAAAGAATCAAGACAAATGATTCTGTGTGGATGAGAGGATGAAAGTATGAAAGTCTGTTTTGGACCCTAAAAATCATCTGGGCATCAGTGAATCGAGACAGGAGCTATCTTAAAAGGGAACAGCTTCATTTGTCATAAACAGCTACCTTTATCACCAGAACACAGATTAGAAAAGGAAACAGAGACAGAGCAGAACTCTAGAATAGGTATTTAGGTATTTTGCATGTGGTTGAATGAGGTACAATAGAATTCTTAATTGCATTCTGTTAAATTTGACAATGATAACAGGCTCTAAATTGACACCCCTGATAGCAGAAGTCCTCTATTCAGCCTCAAATCAGACAACAGAAAGGCCCAATTTCTCCACATTCTCCACAAGCTCATTTCACTCATGACTGTTTGCAAGGGCTATCCCTAGGAACAGAATGAAAGGGGCTCCTTTATTCCCTGACCTTCCAAATGGTGCCTGATGATTAATGTCAATTGTGAAATGGACACCATCACATAATGTTATCATGGTTTCTCAGCAGCTAGCAGATGATTAACACTTTTCAGACCTTTCACCAACCTGGCCCAGGTCTAACAGATAACCACAGAATGAAAGAATCTATTCTTAGCTAAGGGTCACCAAACACAATGCCCCATCTCATCTCCAGACTAAACCACATTAGAAACTAACAATATAGAAGAGAGGCTGTGCCCTTGCATTCAAAAGGCTTTGTCATTTCTCTTCAATATGTTATGCAGCAATTACATACTCCTTGTACAATCAAAGTAGCTTCTGCTACATCAGATGCTAAGCTAAAAAATGCCAAGATTTGACCTCACTTCAGAATGGATCAGGAGAAAGAACCAGTGGCTTGAAAGAAGGAAAATAAAGCTCCAAATGGGATACTGCTAGCAACACTAATAGTGGAAGATGACTCAGAAATGGCTAGAATCTGTTTTAAATGTAAATACTGTACCCTAAGGCAGATTTGCATAAAGCAATTGCTAAGTTTATGTGGTCATCCTCTGTAAAAAGATTTCTGCATAGTTCAGGGCATGCCTTTCAGTTAAGGACTTCTGACTGTCAATGAAAGCACACTTCTAGTTAACAAAAGGTCAGCTGAAAAGCTGTAATTTAGAGGACAATGTAAAACTCCTGAATTTCTAGTCATACTATCCATCATTACTTGATTACAACTCACAACTCACTTTGGAGGAGCAAACAGTAACAGTTAACTTGTCTTGTCCTGTGTTTTCACCTCCATGTGAAATTTCCATTTCCTTTACCATAATCCAGCAGAGACCAAAGAAAAAACTAACATGTTTTTGCAACATTAACAGTGCAAAGATGACACTGTGCAGACTGCCACCTGTGTATTAGACTGTCTTGGTGGATATTCCCATCTCCAGAACCTAGGACTGTCTAAAGAAAGCCTCTGTTCATCCCTGACAGTTAATGGCACTCACCCTGCTGATGGAGAAGACCACACCAGGCTTGCCAGAGCAGACACCCATGAAGCAGTGGCGGAATTGCCAGTAGAAGAGATGCTCACAGATGAAGGTGATGAGACTGAGAGCCATGGCTGCTCCCAACATGTAGAAGACACCTGCCATGTTATCTATATCCAGCTGGCTGCTCATAACCTCATTCTTCTCATTGTGACAAATGCCAGTGAGCCAGAGAGCTTCCAGCTCCTCCATCTCCCCTAGAACGACAGACAGGAGGAAGAAAACAGGTTAGATAATCCTGCAATAGCTGAAGAGCTCAAACTGGGGCAGACTGAAAGCAAGAAGCTGATCTAACGTAATTTCCTGTCTCCACGTTCTTTTTCCACATCTATAACACCAATAAAATATCCTGACTGCCCTTCTGATGGGGCAAGTGCCATTTGTCACAGGAAAGTCAACAGGATTTTTCTGAAGTCTGATATTAGCCATAACAAGCTGTACCACAGGACACAGCTATGATACCTGCTGTGTCTACACTGAGATGTCTACACCGAGATCCTGAAACAGTTGTCCAGCACATGACTGAGGATCTGGCGTCACAAACTTCCACTTTCATTAATTCAATGAAGGGAAAAATTAGTGACTGATAGTGGTAGACAAAAATTAATCACTTCTAGATGAAAACATTGTATGTTTCTAAGTCTGAATCAAAACATTGATTGTTTTCAATCAATTTTTGTTTCCATCATATCCATAGCTCATTAAAACCAAGTGTAATGTTCCAAAAAACATTTGAGTATTTTTACTTGTTTTTCTTCCTTTCAATTTTGTCCAAATTCAACACAAGGACTTTGACCAATCAAAAATTTTACTAATTCATATCAGCTATGAGCAAATGTTCTGTATTCTAATTTCATACACCACTTACTACCATTATGGTGCTGTCATGAGGGGTGAGAGGGAGGTAAACACTCACACGCACACACATATTGAGACATTCAGAACAAACTAAATTTGCAGGATGACAAATTGTTTCATGCTGTTAGAAAAGTTAGTTTTTCACATTTTCAATCTCCAGTCCAGTGGCAGGGGGAAAAAATTCGTACATTTAAGTAGTGCCATAACAGAGTTTTTGAAGCTTTGTGGAGAACTTATGTCCTTCTCTGAAATAGTACATACTAGGCTTTTTAAGAAGCAGAACAATCTATCTGTCAGGTGGCCAATTTTCTGAAGTATGTCCAAGTTATGTTCTTTCCATATTTATAATACCATATGTTATTTTCAGATTTCAGGGGAGAAAAAGAATACTTATAAATAAAATAACCTATGAATTTTATTTATTCATAAAAAAAAGGACACAGGAAAATGTAATGTGAAATTACAAGGAAAGGCAAGACAGGAAAATACTTGCTAAGAAGGAATTTCTTTTGCCATGAACAGTTTTTGTTAATCTAGCAATTTCTCTGTAAATTAAGAGGTGAACTATGTAACTATAATGTTCTAATTAAAAACTCATTCCAAAATATGCTTCTGAGTCTCAAGCTCTTCCTTGGTTTTTTAAATTTTGGTTTGGGTTTTTGGGGTTTTTTTAGGTTTTGGAAAATCTGATCTAGCTCTTTCATCCAGAAATATTTTTCCTTTAATTCAGTCGACTCTGCATAAATAGATCCTGTCTAGAGCTATAAAGTATGGAATAACCACAGACAGTCCAATATAATTAGTGGGTTTGGTCATGGCAAAACCTCAAAGCTAGTGAAAAATTCACACCAGAAATCTTGTTTTTACAAGCTATTTTTCACATAAGATATTTTTCAAACACATATCTGATCTTGTTCTATGAAAACTTTAGTGCTTTTGGCACTAAAGGCTTTTGATGATACCGCTACCCTGCATCAATAACAAGAAAGAAGTGACATTCTCGCATTTTTGCCGTGTTGCCTCTAAAAAAGCCCCATTAATAATTCCATGTTCTCAACTCACATCTGAAGTACCAGAGCCAGAAACTTCCATTTCTTATACACAAAACTCACTATTTCTTAGGAAAATTCCAGCGCATTTTTTTCTTGTCTCTTACCGTCTCCAAAAAGCTGTAGAATCGCAAGATCAACCTGGCGCTTCCAGCCTGAGTCCTTTTGGATGGCAATGCCATAGCCAGTGGAGGCAAACACTTTCCCACTCCCAATTGTCACCAGCTTGCAGCCTTCATCTCTGCCAGCCATGTAGTTTAGCACTGCTGCATCATAAATGAAAGCATCCAACTTCCTGCAGAGGCAAGAAACAAGAGGGTATAGTACAGAAAACATAACATCTGCATGAAATCAAAGGTGTTTTTCGGTAGGTAAGGAAGAAATTAACCTCTTTAAGATGGACTGCAATATGTTATGTAGAATCATAGAAAGGTTTGGTTTGGAAAGGGTCTTAAAGACCATCTAGTACCAACCCCCATGACATGGGCAGGAACACCTTCCACTAGACAAGGATGCTCAGAGCCCTATCCAGCCTGGCCTCAAACACTCCTAGGGATGGGGCATCCACAACTTCATCACCTCACAGTAAAGTGCTTCACCACCATCATGCAAAAGATTTTTTTTTTCCCTATTACCTAATCTTTCAGATTGAAACAATTCCCCCTTGTCCTGTCACAACATGCATTAATAAAAAGTTTCTTTCCAGCTCTCATGTAGGTTCCCTTCAGGAAAGTCACAATTAGGTCACCCTAAAGCCTTCTCTTCTGAACAATCCCAATTCTCTCAGCCTTTCCTTGTAGGAAAAGTGCTCTGTCCTTTTAATCATCTTGTTGGCTTCCTCTGGACTCACTCCACCAGGTCCATGTCCTTCCTGTGCTGGGGACCCCAGAGCTGGATGCAGCACTGCAGGTGGGGTCTCACCAGAGCAGAGCAAAGGGGCAGAATCCCCTCCTCCATCCTGCTGCCCATGCTCCTTTGGATGCAGCCCAGGATACAACTGGCTTTCTGTGCTGTGCCATTGCTGGGTCATGTCCCGCCTCTCATCCCCCTGCCCTCCCAAGTCCTTCTCAGCAGGGCTGCTCTTGATCCCTTCATCTCCAGCTTGTGTTGATTCCGGGTTTGCCCCAGCCCAGGTGCAGCACCTTGCACTGGGCCTTGTTAAGCTTCATGAGATTCCCATGTGCCCCATCTTTGAGCCTGTCCAGGTCCCTCTGGATGGTATCCCATCCTTCAGGCATCATCTTCACCATAGTTAAATAAAAATCTAAGCCTAAAGCTGTCTTACAGGTGAATCTGGGTTATAAATTAGGATAGTTTATTTCTTTCTATCTGCTAATCAATCGTCATTTTGATATTAAAGGAAATTTGGAATACACACATACTGCAAGATAAAGATGAATGAAGAGGAAGTCAAGGGGATCTATATCCTTAAGAATAACTTATATTTCTGTACTTTCATCTTGAAAGAATCTAAAATGCTTTATAAAATATATCAATATTAGATAGCAATGTAGGGATTGAAGTAAGGAAAATATTTTCTTCAATTCAAATGCTGGCATGACTTAGCTGAGAAAAATTCATTTTTTTTTCAAATCAAATACAGTCAGGACATTATGTTTAACCTCTTAGTTACTGTGAAGAGTGCTACCAGATCTTTACCAATGCCAACTGGCCATGAGAGCAGCTTTATAGTTTACCCTGTTGAATTGGTCTTTGTTAAAGAATTTTCAGTTGAAAATCACAACAAAAATTCTGTTTCAACACAGAGAAATCCCCATTATGGACTATGTAGAGAGCACAGTGGCCTGATGAGAGCCTTTTCACACTGCAACAAATTGGACATGGGGGACAGTCTCAGGAGGCTGCGTCTTCCACAAACCCAAAGACAGCTGATGACTAAATCCTCCCACTAGATCTGAAATGAAACATCTTCTGATAAATGACCTAAGGTCTTCCAGCTGCACATTCTCTCTCACACACTATCTTTACAATACACCTCCTGCACACATATTTACAGTATGGTGATTATCTCAGTTCAAGCGTTTATCTGTGAGGAAGTCTGTCCAAGGGTGAATATGAAGCCAGGATGACATCTATCACAAGTGATGACCTCTATCTCATCCATATATTTCCAGGACAGTGCATATTTATTTCCTGAATGATGACTATCTTGGCAAATGTACCTTCCCAGGATGACATCCAGCTATGGTACAGCCATTTGTAATGGGCTGCAGGCCTCTGAACCTGGCAAACAGGTTTAAGACTATTCAGTCAATCTAGTAATTAAATTGGCTAAACATCTTAATTTGTGCTTTGAAATGAACTTTCTCATAAGACTGCAACATGAGTGTAAGCAAAAATGCTTTTTGTTCACTGTGGCTGGGCTCTGACAACCAAAATGGTCAGTTCTGAGAGCAGGTCTTTAATTACAAAGGACAAAGGCTTGCAAAATGTCATTTTGAGTTAGGTCCTTTGCAGACTCACTGTTATTAAAATAGGATGAGCTATTCAAGCATGCTTTTTCCTAACGATTTTTCCCATGTCTCCAAAATTACCCAAGGAAATACTTACATTTTTTTATACTTCCATATTATTCAAATAATGTTTTGTTTAGCCCTTGATACTAAAATATTCCAGAGAGTAGGCTACATCCAAACTATTTGCTTCAAACCTACCTTCCATTATATTGTATTAGCTGGTGATACACTGGGGTGGGATTAGTCTGACAGCTTCCTGATTAACATAATCTTTTATACACAGAAGGAGGGAAAACAAAGGAATTTCCAGATGACAATATAAATGCTCTGAAAAAAACTTTGTCCACAGAGACCTGTGAGATTTTCTTCTGTGTTCATAAAAACCCATCAGCATGAAACATCTTGATGCAGCAAGGTCTTTGGGACCAATACACACATGGATTATGTACAGAGGGATACAGTAGATCCTCTTTTTTTGTTTATTTTGCTTTGTTTTTAAATTCTTATAAACACAGCAAAACCAGAAACTTTTATACAGATGTCAATAGAAAAACCTGGCAAAAGAGCCACAGAGTCACTCTCCTGTGCTATGTGTGGTCTGGCTATACTTTTAACCATGGAATGATAATAGAGGCTCATTTTTCAAACCCTAGAACGTAAATTTTCCAGACAAGCATGCAAAAAGTCAGGTTTCTGTGGTGAGCAAGCATGTAAGAAAGCCTCACCCAGTCTTCAGGGAGAACAGCGCATCGTCCACCCCCCTCTGATTGAACTTCACCATGTAGCTGTGCATTTCAGGGTAGTTGTTGCGGATGTTCCTTTCCGTGCTGCCGTTGGGAACTGTCCCGAAGCGGAAAGGGGGTGAGAAGTCATTTGGTTTCTGGAACTGGAGAGACAGAAAAAGGAATATTTCTTACAGTTTTTCAGATTGAAGCAGTCATCTGAGTGGGAGAACATCGGAAGGTTGATCCAATTTTATTTTACTATGATATAGAACACATGATTGAGAAGATATTATATTTTATTGTCAATCATGAATTTCTCCTATTAATGCCTAAGAAACAAGAAGTAAATCTGAGCAATTTGTTCTTTTTCTCTACTCTGGATTAAGTGCATGAAATAGTCAGTGATCAGAGATTAAACAGGAGGTTAGATAAAAGGAAAAAGGGAAGGGAAAATCTAACAGTGGCCTGGAACACAGTCAAGAAACGGTTTCCAATAAAGTCTATGTGATGTGCTTTTTACCCACAAACTGTCATTTAGTTCCTAAGAAGTATCTTTTTCAGCTCTGTGGATGCCTTTACACTTCCTGGTCCTGACAGAGGTAGAAAAGTAATTAATGAGCAGAGATGCCTCTCAGCACACCTCACACCCACTTCACTGAACAAATTATTAGCTTTCAAAGTTTTGGGCAAACGTCCCAAATAAAATGCTGTTAGCGGCTGCAAGTTACTAGTAACATTTGATGCCCAGAACAGAGCTGGCAGAACACTCCAAAGCTTTTGCTGCTCACAAGAAATACATTCATCATATCATTCCCCCAAGGCTGCAAGCCTGTGAGATTTTATATGCCACTTGCTTAACGCAAGTCATAATCAATGCTCCCTGGGATTTTATGAGGAGTAAAATTTAGATTGTCAATTATCAAGGCTGCTTAAAACCCCTAGAACCAGCAGATGAGAAGGAGCACAGAACTATAAACCAGGAACTGAATAAGCAGTAAAGAAAAGGGTGCAGAGATAGGTTAAATGGAAGGAAGCCTCCTTCTCTCTGGATATATCAAGCAGTAGCTTGCCTGGTGTTATTTCTTGACTCCCAGCTGTGACTGTGTATTTCCATGAGCCTGAGAAGCATGCTGACAATAGGCTAATGGTTAAACCAAAACCATTTAACAGCAGGAGTGCACCTGGTACATGAATATGTGCAGCCATGCACTGCCACCTTCTACAGGGCTGCAGTCTACAGATAGTTCTAGCTTAAAACACATGCAGGTGAGCCTTGTTCTTGAGCTCTACTTAAAGCCATTTTGGAACATGGTCAGCTCAACTGAGGAGGCCAGAGCCCCTACAGCAGTGTATCTCGCTCACATCTCAGCTGTGAGGACAGCTAGAAGCTGGGTCTGTGGATAACTGAGCACACTGTTCACCTGTTTCTGTGTACCAGCCAACTCATCTCTCCAGTTTGGATGGCAAGATGGGCTAACCTGTATGTGCATGTGAATGTGTGAGAGAGAACAAGCATCCTACTGCTTTAAGCCAAAAAAAAACCATGGGGGCTGTTTTTCTGAACTCAGGTTAGTGCATCACCAACAAAACAGAAGTTTCACATAGCATAAAACAGACATTAAGGTGTCTCTTAGAACTCTGTCACACCCTCTAGGGAGGAAGACAAACTCACAGCTATCAAAGACTGTAATGAAAGCAAACTTTGATGGGAGGAAAATCACCTCAGCATGCTAAAATTATTCTTTTTTACTAAGCTGATTAAAGCAGCAGCCTAGGGGACCCATCACAAGGAGGGCACTGCCATGCCAGACACAAAGAAACACAGTCTCTCCCCTGACACGTTAAACCAGGAGACTGCAGCATGGGCAACTCGCTTTCCCAGAGGCTGCAGAACCCCACCTTAAAGGCATACAGAAAATTCCCATTCCCACAGAGCCCTCTGACAGAGTACAGCCAACAGGAGAAGCATCAGGCAGGCCTGACCAACATTTGTGAGACTGAGTTTTGGCATGTTCATTTTATACTTCCACCCTCCATTCCCAATGACATGATCTCTATTTTTGTCTGTTTCCATCATGATGCCTACAAACTGGAGTAAGAAGGATTACAAAGGCAGGCATTTCCCTGTGATAAGGGAAATAATCTCAACTCTGAACTATCTTTTGTCCCCATGCTGTTCCAGAGCCCATAATAGCAGCCACAGGTGAAAGGCTTTAGATTTAATTTTTAATCTCCTGGGCAATCAATAAATAAATGGAAACATTTCTCTTGTAAGAAATTACTGTTTCTGGCAACAGGAAAAGCACATTTCTAGAGAAAGAGGTCAGGTTGATGACTTCTACAAATTCACATACTACTCATTCACTCACCAATTCTTATTGTCTGCTGATTCCTTAGTAAGAACAGATCTTCAAATGCAAATTACTCTCCCCACACCGACATGCATACACACTTCAGCAATAGCTTGGTGAACAGCAGGACAGGAAATGATATGAAAGGATTCATATGGGGCCCACACCAGACAATTCTAGCTTGAGTGCCTAAGAGGAACACAGATCCCCAGCTAACTTAGCTTAATGTTTACAAAGCTGAAAGTAACCAATGTCTGGTTGACTCCACAGTCAATATGGCCAGAGATAAGCAGCTACTTCTCCACATTTGAGAAGTAATAGCAGTACACGCATGCAGTTTTCTGATGGGAGATAGCAGTTCAAAGATCCCCATGTGTGTTTCTTAGCAGTAAGTGGGCACAGCCCAGTCCAGGGATGAAGGGATCTCCAGAGTAAAAAATATTGCATCATTCTGAATTGACTTCTGTCCCACACAGCTCATCCTGAGGGAACAAGAAGACATGTGACCCTTCCCAGAAAGCTCATGGGATAGATGGGGAAGGAGCGTGTCCTCTTCTGCCAACATTGTAGAGGAATGTGTGGAGGAGCTGGAGACGATCTGTGAGGAGGAAAGTTAATTGACAGATTGTCAAAGAGTTCAGTAAGGAAAGCCACTTGCTTGATTTCTCCCAGGGGCTGGGACCGTGAGCCTGGATCATATGTATCATCCCCAGGGAAGCAGGGCTCTTGGGCAGATGGGTCTATAGGGAGTCTGAGACATGAGGGAGGAGCTGATGCACAATGCAGGGGCCATCACATGGAGGAAGCCTGTGCAGAGGTAATCTCAATGCCGCAGTGAACACTGACAAAGGAATTAACTGCAGATATGGACAGAAAGGGTCAGAATGCAGATTAATTAGAGAACTGTCCCATTATTTAATGCAAAAATGTCTCCTGTCAGGGCTTTAAGTCACAACAACTCCACTCCAGGCATCTGTGAAGAGGAGTCTTGTGAGGTTCTGGCAAAAAATGCAGTGGTAATAGGGGAAGGGAAGATAAGCAATTACATTAGCTGCTGAGAAAATCCAGCTGTACAGGGTCCACACTTGTAGGAGCCCCACATTATACTTGCCTGCAGCAGCTCTATATTTGTAGGAGCCCCACGTTAGACCTGTCCTGCTGCCCAGCTCTACCTACCTCAAAGGGTGACTGCCTGCGAGGGAACCAGCAGAGCTCAGCTGCAGTCCTGTACCCAAAGAGCCCCAGACAGAGACGTACCCCACTTGCATCCTCCTACTCATTCACTGTGGAACCTCTGTTGTGAGTTGCTCCCCTATTATGTACCCAAGGCGATGTGCACATCCTCTCACCCATGAAAGAAGTCCCACTTGCTTCACATCAGTTGTGAAGGTGGAGGCTAGAGATGGGGGTGGAAAGCAGGCACCGAGGATGCCTGAAGGGCTGCAGTAGCTCTGGGACATGAGACATCTACGTTTAAAGCCCAGTGGCTGCCTGCCTCTTCAACCCCTCACTCCACAAACTGAAATCAAGCAGCATTAAGTGCAAAGCAGACCTCGGCTTTGCAAAAGTAACCTCTCCGAGTCAGAGAGCAGAAATCTTCCTCCTCTGGAGAGCAATAAACACACAGGCTGGAAGCTGTTAGCACATTCAGGGGGGAGAGCTGCTTTGCCACTCCCCTCCACATCTCTCCATGAGAGCTGTCGAGAGCGGCAGTGAAAGCGGGTTTAAGTGACTCGGCTGGCAGAGCTGTTTCATTAGCAATTTGGAGCCATGCCGTGCAGAAAGCAGCATTGTTCTCAGATGTTCGGATATCAATCTGCATAATGAAACAGGTGATAGGAGCTCTTCCCATTCATGCAGCAGCAAATGGAGGGGATTTAGAGATGAGGGGAAGGGGTTATGTCTAATTGGTGACAATTAATTTGATGAGAATTTTTTTTTCAATATATTGTCTATCACCGAATGGATCCTACAGAAAAGCACATCTGCAGTTATTTATCTGCCTCATGTAGGCCCTGTTTACACTGTAAAGTGTTTGCCAATAGCACTGAAAGCAGTTTCCCAAACTCAGCAAGCTCTTGCAACAAAAAGTCTCTTTTTTATCAGCCAATCTACTTTGACACTGCTGAAAAAAACCCCAAATCAATCCACTGCTGAATAACATAATGAGCTGGCAGAACTTGGTGCAAGGGTGGGTGCGTGGGTGTATAAGCTTATACAGCTTCTCTGGGAGGGATCCTTACACTTTGTAAGGCCCTGATGACCAGTTGAGGTTTTCTACCACAGGAAGCTCCACAGCTCTGACCCATCAAACTGAGAGCCACAAATTCAGCTCCTCTGCTAGCTGCAAGTCAGAAAGAGCTTAAGCCCATGTTAGATACTTTGAGCTCACTTCATTTACCCAAAAGTAAATGCCAAGCTGAAATGCCTAGGGAATTTCACCCCGGGAACAGGTCTGTCATAGTCCCTGTGTCAAATTTGCCCACCACCTGAGGGTAGTTTGGACACTCCAGTACACCTAAAATAGCTCTAGATATCTACATCAACCCAAACGAATCCAGCCACTGGGCCATTCAGCTCTCAAGGCATCTCCCACCAAAAGTAGAGGGAGCCAACCACTATGGGTAGTAACAAGCCCGAAGTGCCCACCACCCCCCTAATGTACAACCTCTTTGCATTGCCCAAACATCCTCGATTGTCTCCTCTTGTTCTGGTTTGGCTGTATGTCACTGCAGTCAGCTTGCCCCTTTCTTCATTGCCTGAAAATTCAACCAGGCTGTTTGCAAAGACAGAACCTTAAAAATTGAAGC